TCCCAGGCCCCTCTGCCCCAGCGCAGCCCCTAACCCTGCACCCACTCGGCACGCCACCAGGATGTCTCTGTCACCCGTGGCCGCTCCCACTCCCCTCCGCAGAGGCCAGCGTGGCAGGGACATTCCTTAGCCGTGGGCGCACCCAGACTGCAGATGCCAACCCGGGGTGGCTCCCTGCGCCAACACCTGCCCCGTGGCCTCTGGTGGGGGCGGGAGGTAATCACCACGGACCCTGTGTGCACGTCTGTAACCGTGTTCTTCCTGGTGGCCCCGCCTTGTGGCCACGTCTACAGAGCAGGCTCAGTGCCTTCAGCAGCCCAGACACACACATACACACACACACACACAACTACACACAACCACACACACATCCACAAACACAACCACACACACAAACCACACACATTCACACGCAAACCTCACACACACAACCACGCACAACCACATACACACAATCACAGAACACAACCACCTACATACGACCACACACACAAACCACACACACACGAACCTCACACACAAACCACACACAACTACACACACAACCACACAAGAAGTCTGCTCTCCAAATCTCAGAGGGAAGGCGGGGGAGGGTGGGTGAGGGGGTAAGAGACCAACTAAAGGCCTGGTATGCAGGGGTATGAGCATAACGGATGGACACAGACAGTAGGGGGGGGTGAGGGCATGTGCTGGGGGTCAGAGGTGGGCTGGGGAGAGGTCGAGGTGGAGAACAGGAGACATCTGTCATACTTTCAACAGTAAAGAATTTATTTTTTGAGGGGAAAAAAAAGAAGTCGGCTCTCTGACTCTGGGCCAGGGGACCCAGGAAATGCCCCCCCCCTTGTTCCTGGTGACTCACACTCCCTGCCCCCCTTTCTTTTTAAAAATATGTTTTCATTGATTTTAGAGTGAGAGAAAGGCAGAGGGAGAGAAACATCAATGATGAGCTGCTCTCTGCGGCCGTGCCGAGTTCTGAACGACTTCATCTTGGATGGTCTCTGTCGGTGAAGTCTGATGGGCCCTGGGACCCCGAGCTGGGCTTGGAGCTCGGCTCCCTCGGCCTGGCTCCCGGCCTCTGCAGGGGAGGGTGCCCCATGGCGCTGGGTCCCCTGGCCGGGGAGCCCATGTGGCCGCGAGGCCGCCCTGGGGTGTGTGCAGGGAGGGTGGCAGCGGCCCCTTCCTGGCCGGCCGTGTCCTGCTCCCCGGGGGTGGCCATCCAGGGCCGCCTGCACAGCATGCAGCCGGCGGGAAAGCACGCGACGCCTTCGGAGCTTGGCTTTTCCGTTTGGACCGACACTAAGTAGCGACTGAAAGTGCCCAGCTGAGGCCCAGAGACGAAGAGCGGAGGCGTGACTGGACGGGCGAGCCCTGTGCTGGGAAGCAGCGCTTCTTGGGGCCGAAGGACCATTTCTGCTTCATTTCACACCGTTTCTTTCCTCCCGTTTGTGCCAGCACTTGCGTCCCTTGGTGGATCTCCCCCTGGGGGACCCCGCTCCCCGAGGCCCGGGGGGCTGTGCGCGCCCATCGGGCTCTTCCTCAGGACTCCACCCGCCTCTCAGCGGCCCGTGGGCGATGCCGCCCGTGAGACGTGCTTGCCCGGCAGAGCCCAGGCTGCCGCGTCCTGTGTCTGCTGTTGGGACGGTTCCAGTGCCTTCAGTTTACTCTCGAGGCTGCAGCCTCCCTTTCACCTCGGCCCTCACATTCTCTCACCTCTGAGCTGTTTCTCTGAATTCTTACTGTCATCAGGTCGGCGGAGGATGTGAGGCGACCGTGACATTTCCTCCTGAACAAGAGCGCTACCTCCTCTCCAGGCAGACTGTCCTCCCCACAGCGTCTCTGCCGCCTGCTACTGCCATGCAGCGCAGGAAATCTCGACTTCCTACACCCGTGCCCAATTCCACTTGGGTCTGTAAAGGCTTTACTTATTTTTAAAAATATTTTTTTATTGCTTCCAGTGAGGAAGGGAGAGGAAGACAGAAACGTCAGTGATGAGAGAGAATCATGGATCGGCTGCCTCCTGCACGCCCCCCACTGGGGATGGAGCCCGAAACCCGGGCCTGTGCCCTGACGGGAATCGAACACTGACCTCCTGGTTCATAGGCTGATGCTCAACCACTGAGCCACGCGGCCGGCTGGGCTGTTCTGTAAAGACTCTGGCTGGGAGGGTGGTGCTGGGATGGGGACCAGGGAGTGCACCTCTGTGGGACGCCTGGACCCCCTGGGAAGGCTCTGTGGAGTGTCCTGGGGGCAGCCTCCCGGCTCCGGGCTCCTGGCTCCCGGAGGGCAGAAGCGAGGCCATCCCTGGTCCGCGGGAGGCCCTCCTGGTTCCGGGCTGGCTGTCCCCTTTCCCTGCTCGCCCAGGGACCTGCCCACCACGGTGGCCTCTGTCCAGCACGAAGGGCCTGCGGCTCTGTCAGGACAGGAGAGAGCCAGCGTGCGAAGGCCCCTCCCTCCTCCCTCCTCACCTCACCTCACGGGGCATTTTCAATTGCGCCGATCGATTCCCCGGTCTAGTTTCTGGTGGTTGTGCGAACGCACATTTTAAATGTTTTTTCTTTTTTTTTAAAAAATATATTTTATTGATTTTTTACAGAGAGGAAGGGAGAGAGATAGAGAGTCAGAAACACCGATGAGAGAGAAACATCGATCAGCTGCCTCCTGCACATCTCCTACTGGGGATGTGCCCACAACCAAGGTACATGCCCTTGACCGGAATCGAACCCGGGACCCCTCAGTCCGCAGGCCGACGCTCTATCCACTGAGCCAAACCGGTTTTGGCTTAAATGTTTTTTCAAACCTCAGAACGAAAACAGCGACGGCAATGCCTCAGAGTGCCCCCCAACCCCCCAAAGCTAGAGAGCCGGCCGGCGGGACACGGGGGTTCCTGCGGCCCCAGCCGGGCTGGCGCTTTCTCTCTGTTCTCCTCCAGTTCCC